ATACTTTTAAAAAAAATCATGATCCTCTTGGAGTTTTTGTTGGGAGAATTTTACACTAACTTAGTTTGACACTGAGATGAAATTATAAACCTCCTATTTAGTATTTGGGGCAGATCCAGCTTAGGGTACTGTGAAACTGAGCCCAAGGGCAGCGCATGGGAGACAACATCTATGTGGAGTGAAGATAAGAAACAGGAGAGAGGTCTAGGCTATGGTGGGGATGTCAGAGCTCAGCTTTCTGAGAACAGTCACTCACCTGTGGTATTGAGGCCTCTCTGATTCTGTTCCCAGATCCTATGGTGCCAGTAATGGTAGTTCTTTATGCAGAGTTTCCTCCTCCTCTGAGGTTCAGAAGAGTATTCTAACTATTTTGAGACTCTTTATAAGCCCATCTCTTGGATTCCAGAAGAGTAAGGACAGGAGAATTCAAAGACTGAATGAAACTCCCAAGAAGCTTGTCTTTACTTACGAAAACACTCATTGCTTTTGTATCATTGTACCTAAAAGAATTGATTGACATTCAAACATATCAGAAAGTAGCACATTATCAATTACCTGTGGTAGAGAAAGAAAAAGTTTGATTTCACTGAAGCCATTGGTGAACAATAAGGCTCCAAAAAATCACAGAATCTCAACTGATTGTTTCAACAAGTGAATGCAACACTGAAAGCACTCACTCATTTATGCCAAGAAATGTGGCCAGCCAACTGGAAGGGATTATTATTTGTGCCCTCTCCAAAGAAAGGTGATTCAAAGTACAGAAATTATCTAATAATATTAGTAATATCACATGCAAGTTTTCTGAAGAAAACTCAAACAGTTGCAGCAGTACATTGACAGGGAGCTGCCAGAAATTCAAACCTGATTTAGAAGAAGGTATGGAACAACACACATGGTTGCTGATGTCCGATGGATCTTGACTGATAACAGAGCATATCAGAAAGATGCTCACTTGTGTTTTATTGCATACAGAAAAGCATTCGACTACATAAATCATAACATATTATGGATAACAGTATGAAGAGCAGGTATTCCAGAATTCTTAATTGTACTCACACAATACCTCTGCATAACCTAAGAGGCAGTTGCTTGAAGAGAATAAGAGGATACTGCTTGTTCCCAAATTAGAAAAGATATGTATCAGGGCTGTATCTTTTCACCATAGTTACTCAATCTCTATGCTGAGCAAAGAATCCAACAAGTTGTCCTATATGAAGAAGAATGTAACATCAGAATTGGAGGAAGACTCATCAGAATTGAACCAAGTAATATGCTGGGCAAGTCTTCTGTAAAAGACCTCTATAAGATAAGATGCCTCTTTAAGGACTAAAGTGAATCTGATTGAAGCCATGGTGTTTTCAACCACCTCATAATTGTGTAATTTTGGGCAATAAATTGGGAAGACTGGAGAAGAATTGATGCAGTCTTTGAATGATTTGAATTATTGTCTTTGTAGAGAATATTGAATATTCCATGAACTGCTGGAAGAAGGAACAACTCTAACTTGGAAGAAGTAAAGCCCGAATGCTCTTTAGAAGGAAGGATAATAAGACTTCCTTTCATGTATTTTGGACATGTTATCAGAAGGAACCAATTTCTGGAGACTGACATCATACTGGATAAAGTAGATGTTCAGAACAACAGAGGAAGACTCTCAATGAGATGGATTGACACACTGACGGTTACAATGGGCTCAAATATAGCAACAATTATGAAGAAGAACACACCACATGGGTAGTGTTTCTGTCTGCTGCACAGGAGTTCCTAGAGTAGGAATCAACTCAATAGCACCCAAAACAACAACATAATCAACCTTATTGGTAACAAGTCAAATGATGACTCATAGTGACCTTGTAGGAGAGAACAGAACTGCCTCATAGGGTTCCCAAGGCTGTAAACCAGTACAGAAGCAGACTGCTGCCGTCCTTCCATAAAGTGGCTTGTGTGTTCAAACCACAGACCTTCATGTTAGAAACCAAATGCTTAACCACTGAGACACCAGGGTTCCTTTGATTATTAACATATTTCTGCTTAAATACAGCATGCTGGTATTTGTCAAATCTATACTTTGATTTCTGTTTCTGGTCTTTAAAAAATTACTTGAGCATGCTTTATGATTCCATTTTTTATCTCCTTTGTGAGCTTATTAGCTTTAACTCTTTGTTGAATTAGTGTGGGTTGCAGTACCCATTTAAGGTTTAAAGACAACATTCAAGTATTAATATATGAGTTCATAAATGATGAAGGTTAAAGACCACAGATTGCAGTATGGGCTGTACCCCAATATAAAGAAAATGAAACTCCTCACCATTAAATCAATAAATAACATCATGGTGAATGGAGACAGCATTGAGTTGTCAAAGACTTCATTTTGCTTGGATCCACAGTCAGCACTCGTGGAAGCAGCAGTCAAGAAATCAAACGATGTATGGCATTAGGCAAATCTGCTGCACAAGACTTCTTTGAAGTGTTCAAAAGCAAAGAGGTCAATTTAAGGACTAAAGTGTAGCTGACCCAATCCATGGTATTTTCAATACTTTATATGCATGTGAAAGTTGGAGCAATAAGGAAGACTATAGAAGAATTGTTGCATTTGTTTTATTTGTGTTGGAAAAGAATATTAAAGGTACCATAGACTGCCAGAGAACAAACAAAATCCATTTTGGAAGAAATACAACTAGAGTGCTCCTTAGAAGCCAAGATGGTCATACTTTGTCTCCTATACTTCATAAATAATATCAGGAGGGGCCAGTCCCTGGAGAAGGCATCATGCTTGGTAAAGTGGGGAGGCAGGGTTAAAAGAGGACGATCCTGAATGAGATGGAGAAGCCCAGTGGCAGCAACAATGGGCTCAAACACAGCAGCAATTGTGAGGATGGTGCAGGGCCGGCTACTGTGTCATTCTGTTGTACAAAGGGTTCCTATGGGGTGGTACCGACTCAATGGCACCAAACAACAATAGTAAATGAAACTTATAACATACTTTAGTCATACAATGTCATTATTTTTTGCTTCAATTTTCATAATAGAGCCTTAAATGATTAAACAAAACTTGATTATTTACCACATAGTTAAGATTTTTGATATTTCCAATTCTTTTGGATAGTCTGAGATCTCTATGTAATCTCAATTTTCCACATGCCTTGTCATATCTTTGATTCTTTTTGTAGTGAGAGAGGGTTTGCTTGTGTTCAATTTTGTCAACTGTCTATATCTGGAGGAGGCTGGTAACATTGTGATTTAATCGTTGGGCTGCTAACTGCAAGGTTGGTAGTTCAAATTATCAGCCACACTTCAAGAGAAAGATGATGCTATTTGCTCCTGTAAAGATTAACGGTCTCAGAAATGCACATGAAAAAATTTTATTATGTCTTATAGGGTCAATAAGGAGTCTAGTAGCAAAGTGGTATTAAAGTGGCTATTAACGTCAAGGTCAGCTGTACCACAGGAGAAAGATGAGACTTTCTACTCCCGTAAACTTGACAGCCACGAAAGTCTACACAGGGTCACTATGAGTCAGAACTGGCTCCATGGCAAACCGCCACCACCATAGGGTCACTAGGAGCATGGTGTTTCTGTACAATAATCACTGGACTGCAAGACTCAAGGTCAGCGAAGCAAACCCACCATCTTCTGTGTGGGAGAAAGATGAGGCTTTCTGCTTCAACAAAGATTTACAGCTTTGGAAACCCTATACAGGGTTGTTATGAGTAGGAACTGACTTGATAACCTTGAACAACCTCAATAACAGTGTCACTAGGAGTCATAATTGATTTGATGGCAGTGGGTTTTGTTTGTTCCTAGGTTTGTGTATGTCTGGAACACATTGTATTGTGCCTTCAGTTCTGAAAGACATAGTCACTGGGCAGAGTTTAAGCTATCTATTACAGTGCATTCCTTAGTTTAGAACGTCAGAAATGAGACCCTATAGTTTGGGGTCTTATCCCCATGTCTTAGCGTTCTAGGCTTGACCCAGAGAGGTGGACTAGAGTGGTCTGACACCACACATATAGAAATCCAGGGACCATGAGCACTTTACCTCAACTCACCCACAGTCTAGACAAGAGCAGGACAGCCTGGCGCTTGAAGCCACAAACGCAATCCTGATGTACTGATGGCTCAGTTGATTTCTTGCTGCATAAAAAATTATTAAAATAAATGTACTGGCCCAGTAACCAAGAATGCTGGATTCCCAGAGAGGTCAGCCTTTAAGAAGAACAGGATTTTCCTGTAGCTGGCGTTTTCTCCCATGTTGTAGCAAGAAAAGTTACAACTGTGGTCAGAACTTTGTTAAATAAAACATAGAGTTGTAATTAAGTGAGTTTTCTCTGTTCCTCTCTTAGATCAAAATATCTTGTTTTCTGAAAAAGGAATGTGTAGAAAGGACTGTTTGCCTTTAGGAACATATTTAAACCCTGCACTCTATCAGATATCCAATCTGTTGGATTCCTTGGTGGTGTTGTTGTTAAGTGCCATCTCATCTGTTCTGTCTCATAGCGACTCTGTGTATGGGTTTCACGGAGTGATGATGGTTTCTACCACATCTTTGTGGTAAGCAGTTCCAGTTCTTATCCTACAGCACCACACCAGGACCTCCAAATGAACTCTCTTTTTTAGTTTACTTCGGAATGTGCTTAAGAAGCCACGTTAGCCCTTTGGGTTAGGTGTTGCGCTGCTGATTTACAGATCAGCAGTTCAAACCAGCCAGTCACTTTTTGAAAGAGATGAGGCTGTCTACTCCTGTAAAGATTTAGTCTTGGAATTGATTGGATGGCTGAGCATTTGTTTATTTGTTTTGGAGTGTGCTTACTAGCCACAACTTTGGGGGTCAAATACTCTCTGCAGAGCCTGCGTAGAGGGCAGGAATTCTGGGGATCTCTGATCTGGTGAACTAGGCCATGTCTTCAGTCCTCCTGGGACTCAGAGAGAGCATGTGACACAGGCATGAGATCAGGGTTTGTGTCTTCTTTGCCACCTGCTTGTGTCACCGTGAGAATTACCACTGCTGTCTGATGTCAAACAGTAATAGTCGGCCTCATCCTCGGCCTGGGTATTGCTGATGGTCAGAGTGGCTGTCGTTCCTGAACTGGAGCCAGAGAATCGGTCAGGGATCCCTGAGGGCCGTTCGCTGTCTTTATAGATGACAAGCACAGGGGCTTGGCCTGACTTCTGCTGGTACCAGTAAGCATATCTCTCTGAGAGCTTTTCTCCAGAGCAGCTGAGGGTGACCGTCTGTCCCAGGGTCACTGACACTGAGGGTGTTTGAATCAGCTCATAGGAGACCACATAGCCTGCAAGAGAGGAGACAGAGGAGGGTGTGAGACTGAGGGGTCCTTCCCAGGAGGTCCCCCTGATGCCATGACTGGGCTGAGCTCAGGGTGTGAAGCAGGTCTGGGGAGCTGAACCTGAGGATAGGGGAAGCCAGAAGCACCTGTGCAGAGAGTGAGGAGGGGAAGCAGAAGGGTCCAGGTCATGGTGGAGACACTGAGCTCAGTCTCCTGAGTTCACAGCTGGCCGGGTGCCCTGACCCTCTTATTCCATCTCAAACCCCTTGGAGCCAGGGTTGCTTGACCTTTATGCAAATTTACTCCCCCTTTGGGGACTCTGATAAACCAGGCCAGGTGGTATAGTAGTTATGAATTGGACTACTTTTCTCATGGTCAGTAGTTCGGAACTACCAGCATTTCCATGTGAGTAAGATGAGGCTTTCTGCTCTGTAAACTCTGGTAGCATAGTGGTTAAGAATCAGGCTGCTAATCTCATGGTCAGCAGTTTGAAACTACCAGTTGTTCCTCAGGACAAAGATGAGGCTTTCTGCTCCTTTAAGGATTTACAGCCACGGAAACCCTGTACAGGGTCGCTATGAGTCGGTCCAACTCCACAGCACATAACCACCACCACCACCAGTACAAGGAGCACTGGTAGCGTAGTTATTACTAATTGGGCTGCAAACTGCAAGGTCAGCAGTTTGAAACTATCAGCTGCTCCGCAGGAAACAGATGAGGCGATCTGCTCCCCTAAAGATTTACAGCCTCGGAAACCCTGTGCAGGGTCGCTATGAGTCTGAACCAACTCCACGGCACATAACAACAATAACAACAAAAATTTATTTACAGCTTCAGAAACCTTAAATAGGGTTGTCATGATAGGAACTGACTCTATGGCACATGGCCATCATCAAGGGGCAGGCCAAGGCAGGAAGGGGTGGAGCTTCCCACAGTTTTCGTTGAGCTGTTGCAAGTTGGAAAATCAGGTCTGGCACTAAGGATGGGGTCACAGTCACTTAGTGAGGGTGTGGCCACATGAGGAGGAGTCCTACTGGCTCAGTTGGTGACATTTTGGGCACTGTCAGAATCGACTCCATGCGTTTGTTTTATTTTGGTTTCGACCAAGTGAGCACTCTGCTCATCTCTTCTCGCTGTACCTTGTTTTTGTTCTTAAGTGTCGTACAGTCTTGTTTGACTCATAGTGACTCTGTATAGGTTTTCAAGAAGCGACTGATGAGCTTGAGCTGCTCACCTTACGGTTCAAACTGACTTTGCAGTCCAGTGCATAACTCACAGCGCCACTCCAGTGCACTACTTTTGAGAGACTAATAACAGCTGATTCCTCAGGACCTTCCTTCACCTCCTTCATCTCTCTAATCCCTGAATCCACATGTAGTCTTGTCCTCACCTCTGCAGTTCACTAGTTCACTAGAATGCAGTTCTATGTCATTAGGATTGTTGGGAGTCATGGCAGATTAGGTAGTTTGCTTATTAAACCAACAATGCTCTTGGGTAGCAGTGGTGTATATTCCAGTCTTGCTCCACTTGGTGTTTAGTTCCATCCTTCTCATTGACCTTGATGTTACTTTTTTTTTCCTTCAAGTTATTTTACTTTTCTCTTATTTTACTTCAATGATTTATGTCAGAAGACCATGTTGACGGACGTTCAGGTAGCAATGAGTGACCTCCCAGAGCATCCAGTACCTCTCTGGGAGGTCCCTCACTGCTTGATCTCTGCCTGGTGGTCTATTCGCTAGCATCCAGTTCTGGGCAGAGATCAAGCAATGTGGGATCTGGTATGGCGCTGTGGGTTAATGTGCCAGCCTGCAAAGCCATTTAAATTGCAAGGTTGGCGATTCAAGCTCACCAGCTGCTCCTCGGAAACCCTATACAGGTTTCACATTCAACAATTCATATAACTTGTTTCATTACATTGATTATAATCCTCTCCACTTACCATCAGTTAAAAGTATTTCTCTCTATCCACTTTAGCTCTTTAAAAAACACACAAACAAAAAAACCCATTCAGGCATATATAATAACTTACATCTCCAGAGGGCACATTCTGCAAGTCTGCTCCTGGCCACCAGTTCTTAGTCCTTCTATTCTTAGTCCTCAGCTGCTACCCCTCTCCATGCCACCATCTCTGCCTCCATCTCTGGCACTGCTGCTTCTCTGGATAAGGTCCCGCATTCTGCTTGCGCGTTCCTCTTCTTGATGGTCTTAGGGTCTGTTGTTTCTGGACTGTAAGATTAACCACTCCCCTTTTTTGTTACAAAACTTCTACCTTTACAAGTGTGACAGTCACGATTAGTCATGATAACAGTTATTCACCATTGAATCTTACGAATCTTATTCCCATCTCCTTTCACCAGACCCATCTAGACAAGATGATACCTATTCAGTGGGAACTCTTTCTTTTCCCCACACTCTTAAACTAAGCTCCCTCTTGAAACCTTGTAAGCCAGTCACTTCGTGCCTTTGTTGCCCCCTCATTTTAGATAGCCAATGTCTAAGTTGCCC